CCGCGGACGACCGAAATCGATAGTTGAGATCGTCCAGCATCCGCTCCTCGTGTAGCACCCTCATTCGAAACGGGGACTGCTCGGTGATGCTGGCCAAATGATCGAGCAGCGAGTCCTTTGTGGGATGGCTCAACGTGTCCGTCTGCGTCACGACGTCTCCACTAATGTCCCGGACTCGAAGGGCACGAGACTCCGCAGTTTTCCGGCGCAGACGGCGCGGCACCAACTCTCGCTGCATGACCACTTTCCACGATGTCATGTCCGAGTCTGACGGGTGTCTGCGACCGCCTTGTTTCTCTTTACGTGTATGAGTCCTACCTAAATCTCTGGAATTTTTCCTTTGGATTAACTGCTGCTGGCTTCTTAAGTGTCGAGGAAGCGTCCCAAGTGCTGTGCGGCTGTCTTGAGCAAGCAAGAACATGATCCTCCGCTCGTACTTATTTTGCAGGTCGGACGGCTTAGTCCCTTCCCGGAGCGATGTGCGGCGCTCGAGCTCTTTTGTTGTGGCGTGCCGTGCGCTGTTTTTGAAATCGCGCCGACACGTAGGCCGAACCGGTTTTTGGTCTGCGCATGCTGTTTGATTCGAAGCACATTCAGACGTCGGAGAGGACCGGCTCCGTGTCGGATTCGTCCGCAGCCAAGGTCTCGCTTTGCTGCGACTCGGCCTCCGAAGTGTCAAAAACCACCGGAGGTTGCTCGTGGGACACGATGTTTTGCTGCTGCGTGAGGCCCAAGTGCCAGCGGAGCATCGATTGCACGCTGCCCAAAGATATTCGATTTTGCGTCAATTCTCGGAGCTCCAAAATCATTTTACCGGATAAGGCGTATCGTACTGAGAGCTTCTTGTGCGGGCTGTCGAGGGTCATGTCGAAGCACACGTGCACGTCCGGCCGTATCTTGCGAATGGCCACATGGAAGAATTGGCTTTCAGAATAGTAAATCCAGACTTGTTCGCCATCCACCGTCCAAGTTCTGAGGTGGCGGCAGAGGTGCGAGGCAAAAGGACAGTGCAGGTAAATCGGTTCTTCGCGCTGCATTCTCGTTGATTGCAGTGCATCCGTGCACAGCAAGGACCACCTGCAGGGAGGGGGCTGATCCCAGCGCACTGCGTCTCGGATGTTCCCTTCGATGCGGCAGCACTCCATGTTGGTGCTATTATGACGTTTGGCTGTCAGAAGGATTTTTTGCGAAGCTATTTGAGCTTGAGCCTGGCACACTGCAAGGGACCGGTCTATACAGCCGTCGAGTCGGACCTGGTACATGATTATGTCGAGGTGCCATGAACTCTTCACTTTGACAATCATGAGGTCTCGTCAGGGCAGAGCTGTTGGACATCGGTTCTTTTCTCGTTCTGCACCTTGTTCGATTGCGTTGCGATTCCTGCTCTGCTGCCCGCGGTCTCTACCCGCTTTCTCAAGCGTCCGAGAGGTGTTGCTCCGTCTCCTGAACGTCTGCGGCCGCGGAGGTCGCGCTCGGCTGCGACTCGGCGTCCGAAGTGTCGAAGACCACAGGAGGTTGCTCGTGGGACACGATGTTTTGCTGCTCCGTGAGGCCCAGCTGCCAGCGAAGCACCGTTTCCACACTGCCCAAAGAGATTCGATTTTGCTTGGGTTCTTTGAGCTCCAAGATGAAGTCGCCGGACATGGCGTATCGTACGGAGAGTTTCTTGGGAGGGTCGCCGTGGGTCATGTCGAAGCACACGTGCACGTCCGGCCGTATCTTGCGAATGGCCACGTGGAAAACTTGATGTTCAGAATCGTAGATCCACACGTGCTCGCCGTTCACCGTCCAAGTCTTGAGGTGGCGGCAGAAGTGCGGGCCGACCTCAGAATATAGGTAAATGGGCTCTTCGCGTTGGATTTTCGACGATTGCAGCGCATCCGTGTGCAGCCAGGACCACCGACAGGGAGGTGGCTGATCCCAGCTCTCTGCATCGTGAACGTCCTTCGCTTCGATGCGGCAGCACTCCATGTTGGTGCCGAAGGCGACGGCTCGGCTATTGGAAGCGGGGCGGATGCTCCTACACTGCTTTCTGCTTGAGCCTCGCAAAATGCGATGAACGCGGGGGCGTCTCTGGCTGTGCTCGTTAAGCCTGGCTGCTTGTGTATGCACCGCGCTCAGCAATTCCGCACGTCGTTCGTCTTTGGCTCGTTGGCACGTCGTTCGTCTTTGGCTCGTTGGCACGATGCTGGTCCCTTCTGGTAGGTCTACGTGCGGGAAGACTGTGCAGGCAGGCGTTGCTGTTGCTGTAGCCGGCTCACTGTGTCCCTCAGCGCTTGTACGCAGGCAGCGAGATGACGAACTTGGTCTTGCAGTTCGTCCATTTCTGGCCGTGTGGGCGACCCGCCGTGGAGAAGGGCCCTTGGAGGACTTCTGGATCGACTTCGTCGACGATCGGGGCTTGCACTGGTCTCGATGTGATCCTGAAGCCTGTACGCTCGGCTCATGGGTCTGGTCGAGATCGCTGGAGGATTCTTTGGGCACTGAGTCGGCTTGAGCATGCGGCGCTGCAGTGGATCTCAATTGTGTGAAGCACTCCTGGCATGCCTGCATGCATCTGACCTAGCTTGTGGCCGTTGTCGTTTGTGTGCTGTTTTTCGACTATCGAGCTTTAGGAGCGAGCCAGCGAGACTTATTGCTCTGTGCGACGCGGCGGTTTCCTTCCTTGGCCCTTTGCTTGAAGCAAAGCGCTCGATTTCTTTCTTCGCAGTCGACATCGCAAGGTTGAGGTCACGTTTCGTTGTGGCGGGTATCTCGCGGCGTGGGGGGGAGGCCACCGTTATGATGCGTTCGAGCTTTAGAGCGCTTTGTTTTAAAGTGGATGCGTACCCTTTCTCCAAAGCGGCGCTGGCCTTTTGCCTTCTCAACTGAGTGAAGCAGAAAATACTGAAGTTGTAGAGCTCGCCGAAGCCGCAACTGAAGTGGTAGAACTCGCCAAAGTCGCAGTTGGAGAAGTCACCGAGGTCGTAGCAGTCCACACACCATGCAGACCATCTCCAGTCGTGTGCTCCGTAGGCCACGTAGTCACCACGGAAGGGGATGCACTCACAGCAGCCTCCATCGCAACACCCAACGGGTCGGAAGCGTCCATGGACTCCACAGCAGTCACAACGATTTCCATCGGCAAGTCGTCATCAGAAGCATCTTCACGGACAGCGCGTGGTACCGGACTGCGCGAGCGATCATCACGAGCACGTCCAGGTCGTGGTACTTCCGCAGTCAAAGCTTGGAGTCGTAAAGGCAACGTAGCAGGATCCAGCCACGCCGCTTCCACACCCACAGCAAGAGTGTCTTGCACCATCTCCACAGTCATCGTCAGGAAGTCCGCCGTCAGCGCGATGAGGCGCTGACGCTCGGTTTCAGGAGGTAGGCGTTGTACTTCACCCGCACGCGACTCCAGGATTTCACACAAGCCCTCCATGGCGGTCGTAGCTGTACGGGAATTTGATGTTAATGTTTAATATATATTCATATAAAAAAAATATTGATTTTTTTCTCTTCTGGCATGAGTTTATCTATATTAAAGATATTGAATATAAAATTCTCTTGCTATTTATTCTTCTTTTTAAGATGAGATAATTCTATTATTTCCTTTTCGAATTTTAGAACTTGCTTTTAATATTAATATTAATTTTAAGATTTGCTATTGACTTGCTATTTAGAAAAGATTATTACTTAATATTGCGGATGGAGAATCTTTATTTTAATATTAAAATATTCTTGGATGGCAACTCTAATATAACATCTGAGAACCTTTACTCAAATATATTATTTTAATTTTTAATAGAGAAAATAAATTATTCAACTAAATTTTTATTTGAGTTGGTAGATTTATTTTGAAAAATTCATTGAAAATGGCATTTTTCTCTAAAAAGATTTATGCGATCACTTCGTTTTCTTATAAAAGAATTATTGAAGGATTCGTGAATTTAATATATATATTTTTTATCATTGAATTATGACTTTCTCGGGGGCTCCAAGTATGTATATGCGGCCTACGTAGCAATGTCGTCCCGTTTGCGCTACTTACGTATGTTGCTCCATTTGGCCTACGTTACGCAACCCCCCCCCTTGGACCGCCCCATATTCTAGGGATTCTAGGGGATTCTAGGATAATCGTGCGATTTGTATGGGCCATGTAGGGAGAGGCTCTGCGATCGGTCGTGAATTGCCGAACAGTCTACGTGTGCGGCGGCCTGGGAGTGGCTCATATGACGAAAATCATGATGCTTTCAAATATTGTGAGGCTGTTTCCTCTAATATCCGGCATTGCAACTGATCTAAGCGATTTCTCGCATAATTGCAACATATTGTAAGCAGCTGTACCTGCTTTAAACGACAATATAATGCAACCATATACAATGTGTAGCTGCTGCGCTTTCGGGCGTCTGCTTGTACCTGCCATGGCCTGCCTGCCGACTTATATGTGCCCCGCTGTCTTATACGATATGGTATGCATCGTGGTGCATTGCGCCGCCCGGTTCCTAGTCGATACCGTCATATTCATGTGGCCATGGTTTCAAAAGTATTCGTGCTGAGGGGATGTTGTTTCATGATCAGGTCTGCTGGACGAGTTTCCAGACGAGACCCCTGGGACAGGGCTAGGACCGAGATCAAGGTCCCCATTGCCAAGGAATACAGCTGCTGTTGCTGCAGCTGGTACCGCTGGCTTCGACGGTTCCCCTGTGGACCATGATGATATCGATAATTGTCCGGATGACCCGGCTTGGCAGTGCAGTGGTGCGACCCCGCTGCCCCCCCACTCTTGTATGTGAACTGTCTAATCTTTAAGCAATTGTGCTGCACGCTTTGCTGTCGATGCACAACTGCGAATAATGTTGTCTCCGAAAGCTGTTTCAAGAAATTTTTGTGTTGGCCAGCTAGCATTTTGCGATCTGGCCAGTGGCGGCTCGACAGGCCGGTGTACGTCGTGCTGCTATATATGGCATGTACTGCATGTGCGATATGTGTGTACATGTGTGTATAGCCGATCGCAGGTCATGACGTCGATCTCGGCCGAAGAAAGGCACTTGCAGCGACTGATCTTGGAGGACCCTATATATAGTACTGGTAAAGAACAAACCGGGTTCGCAACAACACAGGATTACCTCAACGAATACCTCCTCGCTGATCCCAACCGCATCCCCAACATCCGGAAGGCGTGGCACTCGAGAATTTGCTTGGGAATATCCTTGAAACATCACGTTTGAAATCATGACTGTGCTACGGCAGCCCAGGCCAAGTGTATCTTGGGAATGGTGAAGCAGGGAGCGGACAGCACGGAGATGGTGGGCTGAGCGAGTGTATGCAATCATGCATGTGGCTCGTATAGGAATATTCCCATACATGTGCTGGCCCTGCCAGTTGATGAAGCACTACAAATTCTGGTGTGGTTACTATGGATCGCTGGGGGCAGCGGTGCCACTACTGTCTATTCATCAGGCCAGGCCCACGTAGCATGAGACGGGGTTTACAGTACATTGCGTATGCATGCAGGAAGTGCTCATGACGCTTGCCAAAAGATACTGTCTGCTTGGCACCAGCTGCAAAGCTAAGATGATCAAGGAGAGTGAAACTGCATGTTTTTCCCTGCTTGCTCTTATCTCGCTGACATCTAGAATCATCGCTCGGAGTGAGATCGCAAGCGCCACCAGGACTGGGCGAATGGGGAAGCTTCAGTCATGCGAACTGCTGCTTGCCACGGACTGTTCTTGAGCAAACGGTCGAAAGGTGCTAAGAAGCTCGGCTTTAAAATCGACTCAGGAACTATCAATTCTGCGAATTTTATTCCTTCAGACCGCATGTTCTAAGGATCCCTGAGATCATGTCGCTGAAGGCTATGATCCGTGTTGTTACAGAGGCACATGCAGGTGCCATGTGCAAGCTTAAGGTTGATTGCTGCAGTTATTCGTTAATATACTACCCCATATATTCGCACACCTGCAGGTGCGGCGGCCCTCGATGAAACGATCGAGAATGCCTACGAGAATGCCATAAATGCTGAGGATTCTGGAAGCGTGGAAACTTAGCTGCGAGCTATGTAGCTACCCTTAAAGAACGCTAGTCTATTCACCTATGCAAGATAAGGACACGGGCTCCAGCTACATGTGCATGTCTCCGGGCAAGATCGACGAGGCGCTTGCAAAATCTGCGTAGAATTCCAGATTCGGAATTCCGGAGCTCGAATTGATCATAGCTGTTAAGGCCTAGCCCGGCTAGGGTGTTAGTGGTTAAGGGTTTAGACTCAGCAGGGGTTTATAGCTCTATAGGGTTTATAGGGTTATATAGGTTATGGACTTTAAAATCCTGCACGACCTTATTACCCTGAATTACCTATAATCGTATATTTTTCCATATAGGTTCGATTCATGATCACGGTTTATATATTATAAAGTATATAAGGGTTAATTAGGGCAATTATATAGTATAGAATTCATTATAATGCACCCCGGGATGGCCAAACTATATATTGCTTAATTGATAATATTATATTGCTTCGAAATTGAAAGTTTATTGCAGGGCTGCTCCTTTAAAGTGTCGTACGAGCTTGATAGTTAGAACGTCGGATCTAGTCGATATATATATATATATATATATATATATAAATAATATGTTGAGACACACTATACTTAGGATTATCATGGTTTAGGATTGTTTTAAGGGTACCGGTCAATAATTACATAATACCCGGAAAACCACTAACATCCATCACGCCCATCAGGTCGACGGAGACGCGCCGATGGAGATGCCTGCCGTGCGCTCCACAGTCGAGTGTGTCCCAAATGAAGATTCGGATTTTCGAGTAGATCAGAGCTGTTCGAAGGATGTTGCGGGCATGGAGGTGGAGAACATCCAACCTTTGCAACTTTCCGTGGAGCCTGTGGTTGCCTGTCTAGATATATTCCGCAACAACTCTAGCGATGTGACGATCTATAGTTTGCTTGATTAATGTCTGCCCAATACCCTAGGCGATGCCTGATGAGCCTCGGGAGCCACCATGTGTACCTATGGACCCAGCAACTTTGGAGACGCAGCCCATAAACATCATGGAGCTCCAGCTCGAAGTGCCGGAGGCGAACTCTAAAGTCCAGACCTTCGAGAAACCCCCGCCGCCTCAGCTTCCCGAAGATCGACGTCAGGCAGCACAGGCCCGGCCTGTACGATCGGGTATGTATGTTTGAATCTTTCGGGGAGTCTGAGGTTTCAAGACATCAGAGCATGGGGCGGGGATCCAGTTGCTCCCTTAATCTCGTCGATCCTACGAACCCGTTCCGATTTATCGTATCCCTCAAACTGTATAAAAATAAGTATATAGATATAGTGCCCAATGCAAGGAGTCGCGGTCTTGATTACCCCGTAGGCCTGCTCGAATATAAGTCTCGTGAATTTGTGAGCCTGCAAAAGATCCGGTTCCTAAATAATAGGTCATGATCAGATAGACCAGTACTTAAAATTCGAGATCAGATCGATGTTACATTCTAGTTTACACACTATATAACTAACTTATTATTAACACCCGCTGTATCAATATATATAGTTATATAACTATTAGAAATAGAAGTAGATATAGGTCTAGACCCGATCGCGAGGAGAAGCGAGCTCCTGTGCATGTCCGACCGGCGGACATGCCGGAGCAGCTTGTGCAGCAAGCTGAGTTGCAGTCGCAGCTGCTGCAAGAGCGAGCAGCTGATGACGATCTGGATTTGGTAGAGGCACAGCGACGTGCTGTTTGGCTTTATACTAGATAATAATGATCATGACTTCAACATATGTATATGTGTGTGTTTCTAAAATATGCAGCTGAGGTTGTGGCTGCAGCAAAAGCACAAGCAGCAGCAAAGAAGGCGGCAAAGAAGGAGAGCAAAGAAACCAAAAAAAAGGGCAAGAATGGCAAAGCAGTCGTGAAGGATATGCCTACAAAGACAGCAGCAACAACAAAGAAAACAACGGCAGCTGCAGCCACAGCAGAGCCTCCAGCCCCAGCAGAGCCTCCAGCCCCAGCAAAGGCAGAAGCAGCAGAGGCAGCCCCGGCCCAGCAAGACAAGGATGATGCAGAGGTTTGGGCAAGGGTTGCAGCTTAAGTTGCACTTTATTTGTTATTCGGTTCTAAACGTATATACTAATCAACTTATACTATCATATCAATTACCTGCAGCAAATAAAATGCAACTTAAGGTCCCGGAGTTCAAGGTGGCGGGAATCGTGGTGCCCGATGGCTTCGAAGGTGAGCGCCGGTCGTTCACGGCTAACATCCCCGAGCGTGATTCCAAAGCAACCATTAGCTGGTACGAGCCGAGTGTGTATGTGAAGAGATCCCAGGGACTTAAAGAGCCGTATATCAAGATCGACAGAAAGGGCGGGTCAACCTTGGGCGTCCGCAAGTACGGCGGCTGGGCAGCTACGTGGAAGCTTGCGATCCAGTGTGCTAGAGGCCTCTAGAGGCCTCTCTGATGCTAGCCAGAATTTAGAAGTTTCTCTACATGCTCGACTAAATGTTTTATAATTATAAGCCCTGATTGAACTAACATAGCTAGTAGCTAGTCGACTTATGCATTTTACATACAACTTTAGACACGTTGAGCCCTGCATCCAGCGGTTGCTCAGGACATGAGTGGCCCAGCATGTCGGTGTCGTCAGCCGTTCATTATCATTAGACATCCAGATCGATGTGTTCGGATGGTTCATTGGCGGCCCTTGACTAGGACCATGCAGTAACTGCACATACATGCAATTAATGATCGATTGAGTGTCCATCATCCCTGTTCGTCCCTGCCATACATTGCGTGCCGACAGGAGGGCCTGGGGCGATCATGGGGCCTTGATCATCGTACGGTGAGCCTGCTATCTGCGAATAGTTCAAGGATCTGCTGTACATGTGTCTAGCAGAGTTGCTAAGGTTTCGACATCTACGATTCCGACATCGATGGAATCAACTTTGATCCGCTTGGGATCGCTCCAAAAATGCTCTCGCAATGCATGCTATCCCGAGAGTATGCATGCATTCTGCTTGTAGTCAGTGTGAGCTCTGTGTGTGTCGGTGTGTGTGTGTGTGCGGTGTGAGGTCGTAGCTTGTGTCTGTGCATGTGGCTGCAACTGAGTGCTGCATCCTTGGCCGCTCTAGGCCGTGCAGGTTAATGTGGCATGATCTGATCAGGCTGAATGTACAAATGGCTAGCTTTGCTAATTATGGTATTTAAATGTTCACACTTCGAAGTGTTTACAGCTGGCCTCTTCATCATGATGATGGCACCCCCGCCAGAGTCGCCGCCCATATACCTGAGCGCCAGAAGAGCTCGCATGTTGCTTGCTCTCGGTGTTCCACTTGTCGTGTGCTGGGTCTGCAAAGAAGTTTTTCTCAGGGTATTTGAGATTCCTAGTTGTCTTAAGCAGGCTGCTGCTCTATAATTGTCTAGAGGCTGCACATGTGCGACTACGTCGCCCAGACTAACATCGTGGATATTAATGGTCGTGCACTGTGGCGCCGTGATCTCGACGTTTTGGAGCTTTATTCGGGAAGCTGTATGCTATCTAAATGCTTCAGGAACCACGGCTACCGAGCGCAGCTTCGAAGCAAGAACGGGTAATGGAAGCTACATGATAATTCCTAGAACGTTGTGATCGATCCCAGGCAGACCTACGACGTGATTCTTCGAAGCTCCAATGACATTTGTACATCACTGGGCTTTGCCACTGCAGCCGCTTGGGCTAACATGACATCAATGCAACTGTACTAGTCTAGATTTTCAATTGGTCGGAATTCCAGGGTTAGCATATGGGCTTTAGCATAATAATAAATTAAGATCAATGAATATATATATGTATATATATATTTATTTATTTAACTACATATGCAATATAATTACACATATACACATGTATGTACACCTACATATATATCGCATACGACGGGTTATATATTATGGCCGCTATGTAACGTAGCATGCAGGTATTCAGCGGGTGTGCTTGTGAAGAAGCCCACATACCCAAATTAAGCCCCCCCCCTCCCCACACACACACACACACACACACACACCCTACTTAGAACACTATAACTATGCGACCGGTGTAGAACTGCATGGCCACAGCTGAATAATATAAGGCCTGAAGTAACCGCATCCTGGTACACCGGATCCGGAATTTATCATATTATACCCCTGAATCTAGCTAAGGCCTTTCCAAGGTTCATTGCAACCTAAAACATCATGAACCCGCTACCTAGTGTAAACCCACACTAATGTATGTTGTGTGCCCGGAAGATAGGAACAACACTTCGAATACCGGGGTACCGATACTGAGCCTATAACACATATATAAGCAACCCCCCAACACCCAGAGCCGCACGAAACACACACACACCCACAAAAAAAAAAGCTAAGCGCCCTAAGCAACCCTAAAACCTTCAAACCCGGAACCCTATAGATCTAACCCAAACAATATTTCCGCCGTGGCCCTTCCACAGGTCCGGGATGTGATGCGCCTGAAGCCGCAGAGCTCGCTACTTTGGGCTGGAGTGCCGTGCAGCATGTCGCTTGGAGTCGCATTGCATCGTGCTACTTACAATATTGTATCAGATTGTGCACATGTACAGTTCAGGTGGGTCTTTATGTCCAGCAGCGTGCACAAACGAAAGAAACACGACGGGGCCTATGGCAACACATCGCTGCGTTCTGTCGACGTGGCAAACTTTATAGCTACACGGACAGCAATATTGTTGCTACTGGCGTTTGTGTTGGATGTGCCCTGGTGCGCCGCTGTGCAGCACTAATAATACGCACCATCGTCATAGCAGACTAGCTAGTCTTGTCTCTGGCTTCTCTGTGTGTGTGTGTGTTCAGCTGCAGCTAATAAAAGGTGGAGCAGCCAGGCAGCTCGCTTTTGAAAGATTTCCGACCATTTCTTTACGCTCTTCAACAGATGCCACGTGTTTTCTACAAGCAATTCTACCTTGGCTGCTATGGCCACTTCGCGTTGAAGCGATCTTGGCTGCTAGGGCTCCAATTAATCAGTGTGTGGAAAAGCAGCCACCCATATCTATGGCTCTTCCCACATTATCTAAGGCTGTTGGGCACTTCCGAAATGATCCGAAGATTCGATCGAAAGATGACTGCAAAGTTACGCAAGCAGCTTCTCAAGAAGCAAGCACAGTCAGGATCCAAGTTGGTGAAACGAGGTGTGGATGGCAAAGGAAGGAAAACCGTTACTGCAAATCCGGCTTTGAAGTGGAGCTCGCATTACCCGAGTGAGTTTTGTTCAACGGTGGTGCAATTCTTCCAAGAATGCAATGCACCTTTGCTAAATTTGGCCTATAGATATCTAGCTTGCAGCTGAAGCACAGCAGCGCTGATGTTGCAGCCCAGGCAGAGGGGCAGGACCAGGTCATCCCGTCGCCCGAGCTCGACGATCCAGATCTGCTCCAGTTTGAAGACTCCGAGATGGTGCCTGGGCTTGGCTGGGGTTAGTATTAGTATTATCGGCATACATATATATAGCTATAGGGTTCAGGGTATTATGGGGTACGTATACTGTTGTCCGAATTTGATCTGTATGCATGGAACAATATTGAAGGGGTAGGGGGTCTTCGTAGGGGTTCCTCATAGCTTTGAATCGCTAGCTTTGAATCGGCCAATTACTCACAGCACGGCCTTGGGTGGGTATATAGGCAAGGGCTGCACCAACTATATTGCTACGTGCAGGATTCTGTAAGACTTGGGCATGGAACCCCCTAGGCATTCGAACTTAAAGTTCCTAGGCCAATACATATAGTATTAAAACAAAGTATTCATGAGCTACATGTACAGAGCACAGTGCTAACCTTAGCAGCATACCTTCGATACTTGAGGGATCGGTTCTCATCAATGATCAGAAACAGGAGGCTTGGCATGTTTGGTCCAGAGCCCTACATGTAGCTACATCAAACCGACAGACCCTCGACTGACGTTTCGAAGCAGTGCATATGAAGTTGATGATTTGTGCAATCTTAAGCAGGCCCCAAGGACCTAGAACACAATGGCAGCACATGCATGTGTCTTATCTCTAGCTAGTCGACCACGAGACAACCCTCAAAGAATGGGTAGCATTATGTGAATGTGCTCTGGTACATAGCTTCCATATATTATTATAGATAGTTCTTTAATATATATATATATATATATATATATATATATATATACATATATATATATATATATATATATTAAAGTATAGCTATAATATATATATATATATATATATATACATTACATATGTATATATGTTTTAATGTAGAAGACAAACTGAAGCTATGTACTACAGCACATTCATCTAAGGTCGAGTTGGACTGGACCCTCGCCGGCGTGAGTCAGCTGGAGGAGTTCCTTCGCGAAGAAGCAGAGCACGGCCGGTTTAAGCCGAATCTGTTCAGCACTTTAGTGTCGACGTAAAATCCTAAGATAGGGCATCTGTTATTCCGGATGTATATTATTTGATTTTCTTCCGGGTCCCACATATCCCTGTCGTAGAATCGAAAGGTTTGCCGGGATGGCAGGGATCGGCACATTCGAGTATAAGCTATGCAGACCACGACCGCAGGCTTCGCTGCGACGAGAAACATTCGGGCTGGCTAGGGTATCAGGGCTATTGGGGGTCTATACAGCTGTATAATGTATGTTAGGGTTGTCGGTTTAGGGTTCTAGTTTAGGCCATTAGTTAAGTTACGGTTCCCGAGGGTTGAGAGCTTTGGTGTTTTAGGGGTTAGGATTTTACACATGTGTCATGTGTAGCTAGGTGCACCTGTACATATATATATATATGTATGTGTGTGAACATACAAATATATATATGATTAAACACAGACAAACACATATCTACATGTTGTAGTGATATAGCATTAATGCTATATCACTACAACATGTAGATATGTGTTTGTCTGTGTTTATTAGATTAATGGCTTAGAACCATGTGGTGTATGAGGCTGTGTAACACCCGTCTAGAGTCTAGAGAGTCTTGGCTGTTCGTCAACAATCAAATCTCGAAGTAGTCCTGAATGCTCAGCCAGGATTGAATCCTTTAATATATATATATATATATATATATATGGTCAATACTATTCTGTAAACCAATATTCGATTCTTTCAATACTGGCTGAGCATTCAAGTATCGTTCATGTACACTACTAGTATATTATATATATATATATATGATCCTAGTTCGACAACCCGAAAACCAAACAGGAATTACCCAGAACCTCATCTAATATGTTCGCATGAACAAAAGATGCAGAAGAGGCCGTGTCAGAGGCCGTGAACACCATTCTAATGTATTATTGCCATCAGCCCAAACCAGATCAAGACAGCCAAGAGCCCCATGATGACGCCAGCAGAAGCCACAGCAGAGGTAATGCGATGAATTCCAGTATACCTGATGTGTGATGTTGCGCTGTAGGCTCCGGATGTTGCGTGTTTTGGGGTGCTAAGCTGCAGGAAGGGTGCCCGTGAAAGGGCGTGAAATCACGTGATTTCACGGGTAGCCTTCTCTTTAGTTAGATAGGAGGGTACGCATGTTCCGCGTGAATCCGCGTGATTTCGCGTGAAATCGCGTGACCTGGGGCTCCCTGGAATTCGCGCTCCCGCAGGATTTGGTTTCAGCTGTGAAATCACTAGTTTTCCGCCCTGTTCGGATCGCATCTCCAAGCCAATATGGACGAGGCAAGCCAATTCTGCATCAGTTAAGTGTTTCAACCACAACTGAACCCCTCAAATCAGGTGGCTCGCGCTGCCATCGAGGCTGGGAAAAGACGCCAAGAGGCAGCCAAGGCGCTTGCGAAGTCCGGAGCTGCGCCAGTTCCACCTTCGCCGGCCAAAACACCAAAGAAGCCCCCCCCCGAGCCCAGCACCCCGTTCAAGGATGATGTCTCAGCTGGAATGAAACGAGAAAGGGAACCCAGAAGCAGCCCCGCAGCCATGGTCACCCCGAGCACCAAGACTCCAGATCCCAAGCAAGCGAAGACCGACGACCCAAACACGACTCCGAAGAAAGTCTTGGCTTTTGGAGGGAGTAGCTTAGCTTGATGTATGATCTATATATCTATCTATATATTTTAAATATATCGTGTATAATATTATATCTGTATATATTTATAACTAATATGTTATTAGTTTATCCCCATATATAGGATATAGCTATTATCTACATATATACACCCATATAATAAGCTAGATAAGTTTTACCCTCCCAATTGATGCTCAGGTGCCTTGGACAAGGGTGCCAGTGTGGGGTCGTTGGACTCCGAGATTGCCACCCCAGCCGTGGTCCGACAGGTGGGGGACTCCAGGTTCAAGTTTCTGTTGAAACTAGTTGTAGCTATAGCGATCAATTTAAAAGGTTGTTGCCCCAATCTTTCCCGGAGCCCACCCTTGCAAGGGAGCCTTAAACTCTCAACCCGAATCGCTGAACCCTAAAACCCTGAACCCTCAACCCCAAACTATTGAAACCCTAAATCCCCAACCCCTAACCTTAAAACCCCCTGAAAGGCTCGTGAGCTTGCTGACCTCAACAAAGGGAGTTCAGAGCCAAACTTGGAGATGGAGAACGACCCTGATGTTGAGCAGATACGCTCAAGTCTTGAGGAACAAATGACATTGGTGGATACCCAGGTCGAGGAGCTAAATTGTGGTTTACACTCGGGCTTCGGTTCATCTCACACATGCTCTGTCTAGACAGCATATATGAATGACCCAAAGAGCTCCTGCCATCTCAACCAGGATCCGGAGCCAGTCGATCAGGCCGCTGGAGCCCAGGATGCCGAGGCCAGCTTGTACCGATAACCTGCAAGATGTGCCACAATAGCATGCTCATGTATGGCCCAGGGGCATATACACATGTCTAAATGTATGGATATGTGTGTATATGCAGGGACATATATTTGTTGTTATTTGTACAAGTACACTAGGACACATGTCCATGCATATATCGAAGGGCTGTCCTTTCATTGAGCTTGTAATTACCCGTAAGCTTCGATTCCCAATAACTAAATATAACCCAGCAAACCCAGCCCTATACCTGGGCAGGCGAAACAGACCACGGAGGATTCGACTGACAAGCCCAAGGTGGAGCCCCCAAAGAACACCCAGCAGGCAGTGGATGCCAAGATGGAACAGACCACAGAGGATTCGACCGACAAGCTTAAGGTCACGGTGGAGCCCCCAAAGGAAACCCAGCAGGCAGTGGATGCCAAGACGGAGCAGACCACAGTGGATTCGGCCAAGGGTCAACAGAACGACCAGGTGCAGCTGTTATTAATGCATGCCCCGACTAGCTTATACTAGTACCTCCTGCATGCATCATGAGCATTAATCGTCACTGACCCGCTTCAGGCGAGTGGTGACCAGCAGGGTGGTGCGCTATCACAAGCAGAGCAGTCGTTCTTGGCTACCTTGAGCAGCATCACACCGGGCAGCACGCAGTCGGCCCTTCTCCGGCCTGGAACCGTGGACTTTGCAGATCTCATTGCGAAGATGCAGCAGCTACAGGCTGCCGGGCAAGGAGGGTCTGGTTCTAGTCCAGATCCGACTTCGCAGGAGGACCAGTCCCAAGCGCCGGTGCCAAATCCCGATGACAAGAAAGCGCAGGATGCTGCCGCGATGCCCCCACCCGCGAGCATCCCTACGAAAGCACCCAAAGGCGATGTGCTGCCAGTGACAAGGCCAAACTCTCCGGGCCCCCCAAGCCTTGCAGAGCGAGCTGGGGCCCCGGTCGTGGTTGCAGAGCAGGCTCAGGAGAGCTTGGAAGAGGCAGTGAAGCAAATCCAGGCTGGTTGGGAAAAACCTTAAACCTAAAAGTTTGTATGATCCTCCTAATTAAGTCGGGGATTCGGGTTCAAAAGGGTCTGGGGGAGTTTGTTGTGGATTCTTTTCAATTCTTAGCTTCGCTTGCGTGAGAAGTGGCATCTAGGGACTTTGGAACTAATTGTATTTGTGGGCTAGCTTCACCAGCCAGGGGCCGGGGTTATTCGACATAGTATGGGATTTCTGGTTAAGGTTTGCATCGATTGGAAATTATGACACCTTCGAAGGTTTGGGCTTCGATGGTTTCCAAGGGATCTCGGTTTAAATAGGGTTCCATGTATAATATAGATCTAGATAAGTGAGGACACCACTATGTAATATACTACTACTACTACTACTACCACTACTATACTACTACTACTACTACTACTACTACTACTACTACTACTACTACTACTACTACTACTACTACTACTACTACTACTACTACCACTACTAGTACTACTCCTGCTGCTGCTGCTACTACTACTACTACTACTAGCTACTACACTACCACTACTACTACTACTACTACTACTACTACTACTACTGCTACTACTACTACTACTACTACTACTAGTACTACGCTCCTGCTGCTGCATACTCGTATCAGTACTATTCTACTACTAGTATTACTAGTACTACTACTACTACTACTACTACTACTACTGCTGCTACTACTACTACTACTACTACCACTACTACTACTACACTAGCATGCTATTACCTCTGCTGCTGCTGCTACCATGAATACGACTGTCAACTGAACAATCATGGTGCTGGCGAAGGGCCTGCCAGCACGGCTGCATCGGCTCCGCAGTAGATTGTTACCTTGGCTAACTAGCAATTGCAATAATGTGCGAAACCCAAATCTATTCACCCGCATAAACCCTAGGACCTTCCCAGGGGTGCGGGTTTTAGTACAGGGTAGCAAAAGCTGCTTTTGGGTAATATTCATATGTTGCACGGTTTTTTCAACACTAGTAGTGTTATCTCACCGCGGTTTATGGGTTTTTGTGAGTGAGTTGGGATCAGTCCCTTTAGAATGAGTTATCTAGCAAACTGAGGGGGGAAGGAGCTTTGTAGCTCTTCAACAAAATGACTCTTGCAACCCGCCGCCTAGCTAGTGCAGGAAACCAATGGTCGAGCTGTGTGGATGCGATTTACCAGATCCCTCGAAGGACGACATCTTCTTGATCGATGAGTTGTTATATTTTAAATCTCGATGCTATTAAATATAATCACTAGAACCCTATCCGGCTGCATGCAGGACCCGAATGCCCGCCAGCCATCACCCTGGAGCTGAAGCGCTTGACTGTCAAGGGCAAGAAGAGTGCCTTGGTTATTCGGAATTATTCGGGTGTAATCGCAAGTACTACAATAATACGAAACCGTGTCGTATATTTGCTGTTGCATCTTCTTGACCTAAGATATGAAGAAGCTGCACGAACTTTTCCACGAATATGTCCTCAGTGGAGAGTCCTGGGGTGAAAGCCGGGTTGTGGCAGTGCACTCCTTTCTGGAAAGCACGAGCAACCAGAATGTGTGGCGCTGGATGACGAAGAAGGCTAGCAATTATATCACTAGTAACCCACCAAACCCAGGAACCTTAAGGACCTTAAGCTTAATCTAAATCTGCTAGGACTTTCAATAGAGCCCCTGCAGGCTTTGCTCCGCCTCTACGAGGACGAGAAGCTTGTGGAGTCCTTGATCGAAGAGAAGGATAAATTACCAAACATACGAATAGATTCGCTTCATTTTAAAATCTACTAAGCCAGCCGCCCTACACCACCCCTAGCCTGAAGGCAGAGGACCCGCTGATGAACAAGTGCCACCCTGACTTCCCGAACAACGCTGCCCCGTGGTTGTGATCGTCACTTTTTTTTTAGGGAGGGACGGGTATCAGGATAAAATCTCTAGAGGGCGATTTAGGGTTTATTTCCCCATTTTGCAGCCGTAGCTTCGACCTCGCAGGCTATGCGGCTTTACAAGTGCTGGGTCGACGCCAGCGAGACAAAGGAAGAAATGGAGAAATATCAGCTCGATTATATTCGCGAGGGTGTTGCGGGCAACCCCACTCCGGCGCCGGAGAACCAGCAGGACGACAGTGCGAGCACGCAGGGAGACGGTTCTAACAAGAAGGACAACCCGAGAACCATCAAAGAAAAAACCACAACTCAGTTGGCAACCAAAGTGCTTTGATTGCAAATATATTTCGCTGAGAATGCAGTTCGACTGATCTTGACATATGTGCATGTGTGGTCACAATGCTTAAGGCTGTCACTGTCTGCAACGGCTACCTGTTGGAGATCAAAGGCCATAGAACGGCCCTGGAGAAGAACAACGTGCTCCTTGGTCTGCAACTTTTCCTCTTATGCGTGCGATGATTCGGTTCACTTGTATGAGCTAAGGGGACAGGAATTGGTGGATGCACTTTGCTCCACGATGGCAACGCATGCTAGTGTACTCAAGCAGTACTTGGACCAAGTTCAGGAGCCACAATTGGGAAGTCACGCAAACAGAAACAACTAGCAGGGATGTACGTGCACAGCTGTAGATCATGTGGCCAGGAGCTCCTGGCGAAGCAGGCGGTCGGGAAGGACTTGGAAGACGCCCTCCGTCTGTTGACCAACGCAAATTCCAACTACAAGACGGCAAGCAAGCATGTGAAGTTGCATCAGGCAAAGAAGGGGAGCGGAAGTACCCCCAAGGCAAAGGCGAAGGGCAAGGCAAAGTCAGCAGCCCGGCGCTGATTCCTGTGTACAGATGATCAAGCATACATTTCAAAACCATCGACGTCGTCACGTCAGCCGGCCCGTGCTTGCAGTGTCTAAAGAGCTGTCCGATATGGCCGCTTGAGCCTCTCTAGCTTAAATTAGGGCTTTAGGGCTACAGGGGTCGGCTAGCTAGCCTACAAGGCCTGCTTCGATTAGGCACTCATACAGGATCAAGCTTGCCATGACAGCACGGGGTAGATGAGCATAGATCATGCGGCCGCAGACACAGACGATGCAGAAACAAAAAGATTGCTAACCGCTTCAAGCCCGATCCCTTACAACCTAAGCCAGAAATGAAATTCAACTGAGTTCGCAATAGATCTAGAGGCTATAAGCAGATTCGGAACCACCCCCCCAAACCCAGCTAATACACCGTAAACCGAACCCAGCTTACACCCTAAAACCCTGGAAGCTCAAAAGCTGAAGCACCTAAAATTTGTTTTCTCTCTGATCTCTCGATCTCTCATCATGTGTTATAGTTAAATGCACTGGGTGTAGTTGTAGTCTGATATCTACCTCGAACCCAAATCCCTTGAACCTGTATAAACCTAAAACCCTTGTGACCTCAAACCCAGATCAGCAAGCTAGCAGTGTTTTCTGAGGCTGGGTTAGCAATAATATACATTTCTTAAGTAGAGTCGGTGCCAACCCCCCGGACCCCTAATACACCCTAAATCCTATAAGCTCCAAATTGCCACGCAACTTGTCGTATACCTGGTCATATCGATCCGGAACCCGAAACCTCACATGAAGCAACAGAATCATAATTACTTATTATTGTTAAAGAGTGCAGCCCTTACTAGATTCGGGACCCCAAAGCGCCGCCCCATTTCAAAGCAGCTCGGGGTTGCGTGTTGTCTAACCCCACGCACTAATATTATAAGAGCATGATTCCTAGCGCCTCGCAGGTGACACTAGTTTCGCAGACCTTATGCTTCGCAACTTGGGAACCGGAGTCTTTCGTCTGCATGTTAAGCTTGTCAATATACGTTTATCGTAGTGTAAGGATCTATGTTCAATGTCCTATATATTTATCCCTGAACCCAGGCATCGACGGCTTGTGCTCTCCAAGAAACTGCAGCTGCCATGCTGAAGGAATCCAAGAACACAGCGAGTGACCTGACACGGAGGATGGCCAAGGCGGGCAGCTGGGGACGTCATCGTCAAAACGTTGCACGAGACCTTTTCCGGGCACTTTCACTGCCAGTGGTAGCTAGGCAGATTTTCTGTTGGTGCACGTCTGAATCCTATCATAGTAGAACCCGAAAATCCAAACCTATATCCATATAAGCTGTACTATGTTTCGGGGTCTGTTCCTCCACTCAGGAGCTCTTTTACGTCAGAGTTCCGATCCGAGACCCTGCTGACCGAAAAACTGAAACTGAGATGGATCTGCCATTGGTTCTCCCGCATGAGCTCTATTCTGTGTGGGTCGAGACTTGATCTTAACCAACGAATGCAATATATTGGTTGGGTTGTCTTACTGTGATGAGGTTTCGGGGATTAAGTTCGGGGATGGAGAGTATCGCACTCTTCTTGTTAGATCTCGGTCAGGAAAAGTCGCTCATGGATGTTTCCCCCGACTCGCTGCAGTTTTACTGGAATCATGTGAAAGCAAGATCAAACACCAGACCAGTGGGTTGCGAAGAACTTTCAGTTCCACTTGGAGTTTGGGGTGACGATGCCCGTTACAACCGCAAGGGCGAGAAGCTACTGCTGTACACCATGAACTCGATATTGCACACACACAAGCGATTCTTGGCCAGCTTCAATTTCATTCAGGTTTCATAGGTATATCCCATGTTAGGGTTTCAACTGATCGATACAAGCCAACGATATTTGAGGCGGACAAATGCATCGGTATCCGCTGTTCACAATCCGTGATCACCTCTGCCTGCCTGGTGGCCGTACATTACGGCCTATCTTCAGGGCTTTGACGTGGAGCTTCAATGTGGCCTGCAATATTCATATTATATTAATGTACAGCCTATAGCTAAAACTGCAACCAATTTCTGAATCAACTTCTCGACCCCCGTACAACACTCCCAATTGCACCAAACTTACCCGCATATCCCAGGTTCTCTACACCGGCAAGTATCCAGAAGTTGGGCCGGATTCCGAACCATTGCCAAAATCCATGGCCAACAAAGCCGGGAAGCTGATCGATGGAGGTAGCTGTTGCAGCATCCATGCCAGTAGCCACGCGCATTCGGAAAGGGGCCGGGTAGTACTGTACAACTTTGTGATCTAGTCAATAATATAGTCTTGTATAGATCTACTATATATATATACATATACTGACTAGATCACAAAGTTGTACATATCTAGCAACGATAACATGCCTCGTGGCCAACACCCTATAATCCTCAACCTGGAACCCTAAAAAAATCAATTCTCAATTCTCAATCTCCATATCAGCTAGGCCTGATGTCGTGACCCAGACCGATCGCAACAACACCCTTTAAAATTTTTGCTGGGGCTCGAGACCTCATTCGCCGCAGGGATTTGTAATCGTACATATTAGTCATAGTTTAGGCGTCCGGGTCTATATGTTAAATAGCAGTTATAATACTTTCATGGGTGTTGCATTTACTGGGGTACTCTTTGGCGGGCCGGTTTCATAGGAAGTGCTAGCATTGACAGCAGGTCGTACATGTGTTGTGGTGGAGCATCGGGGAGACTGGAAATGGATTAAAGAGTGTTGGGCATTCGCTGCTAACTACAACTATCGTGCTCCCGAAGTTTGCCACCACTGTGCGGCAAAGCAGAATGGCCCCGATGGGACACCTGATGATTCTTATTAGTAGTATGTTTTTAGACATCCTAATATTATTGTTGATAGTTGTTTAAAACCACTTTGGACATTCCAAGCCTAGATGGGCAACAGACCTTCTTCGAACGTTTCCCAGACGAAGTGATGCCAACATTATTGCACGGGTAATGTTGGAGGACTCGCTGAACCCGCTTGTCGGCTTGGTGGGGTTTTCTCCATCGACACAAATTAAGTTTTGTACGATGCACATCGTGAACCTAGGGGTCGGACAGACCCATGCTGGCAGTGCACTCGAGTTACTCCTGAGTCTCGGAAGCTGGGCCTCTAAACAAATATAGTTTTCAACTCAAAAGTTTAATTTTTCTTTCGGTTATACATGATGTCTGAACTTTTCTTGTAAAAGCTAAACGATGCTAGGGTACTGGGGCGCCCATCCGGATCTCTCTAGCGGGCTTCGAGCTGCAAGTGTCCACTTCCGAGAATGGGCCCGGTCACAAAGACCCCCTGTTGAGCACCGTGTCATTTCATCATTTTAAACTGCATAATAATAGGGTTCTAGATAAGCAGGCAATTATGTATGTAGCTTCCTTCCATCATCGAAATAAGGCACTCAGTCCCCATCATTACACCGGGCATGCTGCGGGACAAATCAGAAGCCGGCGAATTCAGCTGTTTAAGCTTGAAGGCCTGGAACACCAGAATATTTTTGGCGTTTTTGGAACGATGCTTGCGAGAGCAACTGCGATATGATGAGATGGCAGGACATGCACCTTTAAATCCGGAATTGCTTCTTGCGTCGCTTGCAACTTACGAACTGGTCAGTTGGTTCTTGAGGCAAGAGGAAGCTGACAGGCGCTACCTTCTCCCTGAGCAAGCTGCTGCCATTGCAAGGCATGGAGACAATTACTTGAAACATATCCAGAACCTGTCCCGCTTGGCATCCGCGAACCTTCTGTTAAGATGGAAGGTATTGCCAAAACATCACGAACCTCGAATGATTGCCAACATATATGTTTTGCTTTCCATTGGCGGATCCTAAGATATAGTATTTGAAAACTTTCGATTCGTTTTGGCAAACTCATGTTTCTATTCGTGTACGCAGGTGTTCAAACACGTGAACGAAGACATGGTGAAGACCGAGCAGTCGGCTCGGTCGTACCATGCTTTCGTCGATGAGGATTGTGTATTGCAGTGGAAGAAGTTGGCCACCAACATGTCATCACATGCGCTTGAGGAAAAACTCCTCCTTCGGTACTTGCTGCGACTGGGAGCTGTGGAGCGCTGATGGGAAAACATTTTCACGGACACGCAATTTGTCATTCGAGTTCGGGTTCGGGTGATAGGGGTCATCCTTTGTAGCAGGAGCTGAGAAAGCTTGGCTGGGATTCCAGGCTCTCCTGGCCGTTTTAATCTCGAATGGTTTCAAAAGTAGATGTACATTCCGAGAAACCCATTGTAGCTTCATGGCTTTCATTCTAATTTGCCGGTAAGCTGAAAGAATATACATCATTCCGGGAAGTGTCGTCGATGTGCCACCTTTTTGCCCTGTCAAACTCCCAAAGTGCTCACCTTACTCGATCTAATTAACCCCTCCCGGAAGGGGCTTTCTGTATGTATGCCCAAATCCCTGACGTACCCACTTCTGCCCTGTATGTAGTAGTTTCTGCTGCACGCACCCCAAAGTATGCTGATTCAGCATACTTTGGAGCCCCCGGGTTTTATTGATTTAGAATACTGATTAAATTTACGACGGGTTATATTGAGAGATAACAACGATATTTTAATATAATATAATTATTTGGAAATTTAAAAGAATTATCCGCGAAGATAACTAATTTATATCGAAATATATCAAATAATTAGGTGACGATAAGCAGCATATAAAAATCGATTAAAAATATTTTTTAAAATATAATCTGCACGTCTATTAAAATAATATAATTAGAAAGAAAATATTGTTGATAGTAATATAGATTAAGATATTATATGAATAGATATTATTACAAGAAATTAAAACTTATTATTGAAAGTATATCAAATAGCAAGAGTATAATCTACGCTAAAGAATGCGCGCCCATGAGATATAATGATTTCTAGATATAATAAATTTTTATATCTAAATTCTATATCATATTATATAAATGATTTCTCTAGATATATATTGATATTTATAATAGATTGAAAATATACGAATATATATTTATATTTAAATCTATATTTATAGGTGCATTTCTTTCTATGAAAATCTTAGGAAAATTATAAATAGAATATTTCGGGTAATATATATATATATTTATGATTGCATATATATCGATATAGTTATAAAAAATTATATGGAAATATATATCTGCAAATATGAAATATTCATATTGATATAGTCGGATATCTAATTATATATATATATTCGAATATCTGAAAAATTGAATAAAAATCTATATTTATTTTTTTTTCAAAAATTTATTTCGATATATATATTATATTTATATAAATAGAAATCTTTAGATATTGAAATCTATAAGTATATTTCTTTATTCACGAATGAGTTCTTATATATATATATATATAAATTCATATATATATATATAGATATATGCATAATTGAATATCGATATATCGTTTTTTCTTCGAAATTAAGCATGGAATTCTGTAGCTATATGTAAATTTGATATTAGATTTATATGCCTATATCGATATTTATATTTTTTCTATAAATACCTTCATAATATTCATTTTTGATATTGACTCAGATATATATATTTATTCCGTATTTTCATCTATATATCAAAAATTTTTCTAAACCTATAGTTCTATCTATATTCGTGTCGTAATCTATAACGATATACTTATCTTGATATTCGCGAAATTATTCGATATATATATATATCTTCATATATATATTCATATATGGAATTATATATATATAAATATTTGAATAAATTCATATAAGATTTATCTATATTTATATTTTTGTTATATCCAAGATTCAGATTTTGAATTTATTCTGATTTATATTTGAATATATTTTTTCTCTATTTATTTCCTTATTTTTATTCGAGAAAAAGAAATATATTTATATAATTGTCTAGTCGATTATCCAAATTTTATTTTCATATTATACCATGCGCTTATATATATCTATATTTTATATTTTCAATACGCATATAATATATATCTATGAATATATATAGCAAAAAAAAATATATTATTTTTTTTGTTTATGAATAAAGCTTTTTTTTATTTCTTATGAATTAACTTGCAAATTATTCAGAGATATTCTTCTATATTATTTATGATCTATTTTTTTAGTATATCCCTTATAAAATCTCTTCTTTTATTTCTTCAGATACAAATTTATTTATATCTCTATTGATATCAATTTCTATATATAGCCTCCGGTTTCGACGGAACGATATCAGATTATATAGATTTAAAATTTCAATAGTAATTGCCATATATTCATCTTATGCGATAATATAAATAAGTTTCTATAGCATATATTTGGATATTATTGATATTTGAATCGGTATTTCTATATATATATATATATATTTCTTTATAGTTCTAAATATATATATGAATATAAATCAAAATCATAGATAAATTATCTAGATCAATATATAGTTATGATTGAATATATATATATATATATCATAGAATATATTTAGAGCCCAGGCAATTATATTCTTATATCAATATTCAAATTTATAGATGATCTATATCTATGAATATGCTTCTATTTGTCTCTCTAATACTATCTATATATGTTGTATCTATATCTATATATCTGATGATCTATATATATATATATCTATATATATATATCTATATATCTTTATCTTTTGAATCTATATATAATCTTTCTTGCTATAGGTTCATATATATATATATTCTATTCATATATGTGTGAAAATAAATATATATATATATATGCCTATATATCTTCGTATCTACGAATATATATATATAGATGAGCATAAATATATATCTATAAATAAATCTATATATCTATTTAAAATCCTAGGCATCTCTCTATCATTCTATTTATATAATCTTATATATATATATATGAATACGGATATATTTTCTTTATCTCTCATATATTTTGCAAATGACGGATCATATTGAAGATTTAATTTTGCGATAATACGGATCGAAAGCTAAAGCAAGCTTAAATCCCTATCAATTCTTTTCGATATCATAAGAGGAATCGGGTTTGAATAAATTATAGTAATCAGTTTTGGTGGGCCACGTTGATTTCATCCGCGGCCATATCTAGATAATTATTATTTATTTATATCTATATTCGTATATCTGAGCATCGGTACCTCATTCTCTCTGCTTATACGTGCATATAGTTCCCCAAATGCAGTAGAATTCGTAGTTAAAATTATATGATCGCATGATTAGATCTATTTCTATATCTGTTTCGAAATCTGTTCCCATATCTATATCTTCATGGTTTTGTCGATTTGAACTAATTCATGCCTATATGTCTTTATCTTCACTTATATCTATATCTGCATATAGGTCTATATCTAAGTCTATATGCATATCTGTGCCTATGTTCTTACCTATATCTATACCCGTTGTCTATACTGATATCTCTATTTGTATCTATATCTTAGCTATCTCTATATTCTATCTGCATCGATATCTATACTAGTATCTGCATCTATATATGTGTGTATGTCAAAACTAGTATCAATATTTACATCTGTTCTTATATCTGTATATATATATATATATATATATTCCTATACCTATACCTATTTCTATATCTATATCTCTATCTATACCTGTATCTGTATCTACACCTATTTCTGTACCCATAATTGAACCTGTTTCTATTTCTATATCTATCCTCATATCCATAGCTATATCTCTCCTGCTACATGTATGTATATATGTATTCGACGATAAATAGCCGTTTATCATAATGATTTCTATACCATACATCTGAATTTGGTTCAGTATATATATACAAATAGCTGTGCACTATGTATGCTATTCGAATTTTTTTGCAGATATTTCTAACAAATCATGCATGTATATTTGTGTTTATATCTATGTCTATACCTATATCTGAATCTATATATATATATACGTATATATTTTCATCTATATCTATATCTTTATTCATGTCCAAGTCTATGTTTGTAATTCTACATATACACACCATGTATATATTCTATATCTACATACATACTACATAAATACACAGTTCTTTCTTTTCTACCTAGATCTATGCTGCATTTATCTCTATATGTAAATATATCTTTCTATCTTTCTGTATTATACATATATATGGCGTATATGAACTTTCATGAACACATTTGCAGATATTTTTTCGTTTCAACACATATACACAGCTATACACATGTATGATTTATACTCGTGACTGTACTAGTATACCTCTGCATTTTCCAGCTTGTCTATTGTAGCCAAATCGAAATCTTTTGATAGGTTTCTACATCTATAAACTTATCGATATCTGTACTTACATGAATTGCAGAATAAAATGCCAACCTTCTCCTATACCCATAATATGTTGCCATTGAAGACACGGGGCGAATGGGTCTGGAGCCAGCCGCACGAAACCGGGCTGCAGTCGTTGCACACAGAGGTTTAAGACAATTGAAATATCGGAAAGCTCTTAATTTCAATTTACTTATACCTGTGCGGGGCTGGTAATTCCTTTTTCTTGAAACCTTCCGGCGGGCTCTTCAACCTTCAATTTACTTGAATCTTTCCGGGTGCTTTTCACTTCAATGTATTCAAACCTTTCCGGAGGTATAGATGGTGATTACGTGAATTGACATATGTAGTAAAAGACTGGAGTTAGTAAATTGATATAAGGATCAAGACGGTGTTCAAATAAATTATTTATATATGAAGCCAAAGACGGGGTTTAAGTGCATTAATATAGGTAGCCAAAACAGGCTGTAAGTAAACTGACCTATGAAGCAGCGAAGCAAGAGACGGTGTTTAAGTAAATTGACATGTCAAGCCAGGGGTTTGATTAAATTGACATACATGGCCCCAAGCGGGGTTTAAGTAAATCAATATATTTCGCCCCAAACGGAGTTTAAGTAAATTGACATGCATAGGGCCAAACGGGTTTAAGTAAAGTCACATACATAGGCGCAATCACCGTTATAGTGACTTCTTACACACAGGCCCAGACGAGGTTTAAGACATGCACAGCCCCAAACCGGATTGAAATAGACTGGCATATATAGGCCCAGACATACATGGCTCCGAGCGAAGTTTATATAGATTGACATA